TATATACTTATATACTATTACATAATTAGCACCTTTAGCTGTTTTAAATGAAATAAACATACAAAATTTCTGTAGACCATAAAACAAATAATGCAAATAAATCAAAACTAGAATCCAAATTAATATAACACAATAATCATAATATTCCAACAAAAGTTCATTTAATAAATTTAATGTTTACAACAATATTTTAATGGCCATCTTCAAGTAGAATGTTTAGAATGAACAAATAGAGAACATACTTCAAAAATAGAAAATTTTGGCTGTTGGATTATTTCATCAGAGTGCATGTGACAGTTTTTGGGATGTAACTAGAAATGGAATTGTGAGATCATGGTCGAAGATATTGTACCTTCTAATTGTTGGGATGTTGAGGCCCGCTCACTCTCGTTTAAGGATGGCCTAAAAAATAGATATGTTGCCCAAGTCTTTCGACTCGTTCGACCATCAGGACTGACACAGATAGGGAAAGATTTTGCACTCTATCTTGCTATAAAATTACCAAATTATAAAGAGGGCTTCCTCATTGATGAATGGGGAGGAGTCACAGATATGTTCAAAAGTAGCAGGGTTAATGTCCGGAGTCAATTAATTGAGAAAGTCAGCAAATGTAACTAATAAAGATTTACTAAATAAACTAAATCGATGAGATGCATAATTCAAAATACAAATATAACTTAACATAATAGAGTCTAACTAGAGTTACACTTCTAAATCGAGATTATGCTGCTAAACTGAGAGGAAGAGCTTACATCAATTTAAACTTGTTACCTTGACTGAAGGTCTAGAATGTAGTCTTCTTCTTCTATAGGATGAAGTTCCTTGATGAAGCTCTTAGATAGAGGAGGAATGAGGGAAATGCACAAGTGAGAATTTTTTCAAGAGTACTCTATTCTTATGGCAGGTTATTGGGGATCATTGACTGGCTTCCTATGGCAACGTCTCTTTGGTTTTGGACTGCTGTCGTTATTGCATCTCCTCTTCTGATTTCTCTCGACTGTGTGTCTCCTATGGCAATGCCATATTTCTGTTGACTGCTGTTGTTTATATGGGATATTTGGACTAATGTGAACTGCATCTCATATGGCAATCTATTCTTTGGATGACTGCCCCGAATGGCGGAAAAATTGTTCCTTTTATTGTAATTTCTGACCAATAGTGTTAAAGAATTTACATAGATAGATACTACATTTCTTTTAACCTATTTATATCTTGCATATCAAACAATGGTTTTATTTATTTTCTATATGTTATTTAGTTCCAGTATCATTACAGTTGTCCAGTTTATTCTATAAATTTGGTTTTGTTTTGTGTGTTACATATCAGTTTTTTCTAATGAGAATTTTTACAGATAATAGGCAATTATTTCTTATTTAAAAAGATTTGATAATCTTTTCTTCAAACCATGATTGGAAATTACAACTTTTCATATTGAGATCAGTTGCTGTGCAGGGACGTGCAGAAGGGTGGATAACCAGATGGTTTGATTATGATAAGGAATGAACTCTTGGAAAGGGAAGTTGATTTCCCTTCTTTCCGTAAAAAGTGACACTGTATCTTCCTTTGTTGTTAAAAACTTAGAAAAACTAGATATATTTCTCACACTAATTAACTAATAAAATTCCGAATCTCACAGAATGAATATAAAGTTAAATTATGTTCCATGTATACACATAAATACAAATGTATTTTATGATTGATATTGAATAAAACAAATACACAAAATATAATATATTCAAAGAATGACAAGTAAAATAAACACTGATTAATGAAATATATTGTAGAAGTTAAAATATGTAAATACAAAGTGGGTATGTCATTTTGATGTAAGGAGAAACAACAATCATTTACGTCCTTGTGTGAAATTTAGTTAACTAGAAATGAAATGAATACAAATTTTTTGTTTCAAAAACTCTTTGAGCATCTGTTCCAATCAAATGATCTAATGTTTTAAATGTTCTATTTTTGAATTATGCTGTATTCATTCATTCTAAAGATGAACAGTAACTGAAGGTGAGCAATAAAACATGATGGAAACATTAGTTTTACTAAACTGAATTCTGTTGGAATATTATGGTTACTGTGTTCATAGGCCTTAGCTTTTAATTTTAAGAAAAATTAAGGGTCCATAATTTACATTGATTTTTGTAAAAACTTTAAAAATCCATAATTTTATTATTTTATGCATTTCATCCAGTTTCTGTTTTTAAAGTCAAAGGTATCACTGACAACATATTCAATATTGTAGTACCCAAATGAAGAAAATGATGATAGAAGTATATGTATATGTTACTGTGAATGACTGATATTTGGAGAATGTTAACATTTTCCAGTGAATGTCATGTGACAGCATTCGCACAGTCATTTTGTGTATGTACGAAATATTTGCTAAATATCGTTATTTCTCACTTACACTGGCAAATGTCGACATTCAGCATGCCCTGATGATGAATGTTGAATAAAAATATTTTTATTACGTTAAGACAAAAATGCAACTGTTTAATATGTCAAAATAGGAGAAAGCTTAAGTAACAGCACATATAAATAAACTGTTGAACCTAAAATGAACAGTACATTCTAAATCATTAAAGAAAATAATACAATAATAAACTTACACATAAATTATGTGATTAACATTATACAATCTTATTTATTTCAACAACTTAAACTGTTATGGCACTTTGAATTGCACAAGAGTCCCTTGCGTTTACAACTGCATTTATTCGTGGAACACTTCTTTTTTTGCAATGACAGCAGGTATAGCCTTGCCCTCCACTTTTTGAATTAGCTGTAGCTGCTTCTCTCAGTAATATTTCTTGAGAAGAAATCTCATCTATGGAAAGTAACTTTTCTTTACAAATTACAAACTTATTACTTTATTACGTGATTATGAACTGATCTTGTTAACGGTGTCTTTTATTCGGATATCGCCGACACCTTACCGACGACCCCTCTCATCCTCCACCACTCGACCTGGCAAACTGATCCCCACATCACAGGATCAAAAGAACAAAAACGCCATCCAGTGACAAAGTGGGCGGTTTCCACCAAACCGTTGCTGGGAAAAGAGGTACAACCTTGTCCTACCTCTGGATACCCACAAAGGATTTGGCGACAGACTGTCACCTCTGTCGACATTGGCTTCTCAGGTGTCGTTTTGACCTCCACCAAAGCTTATCTGTGCTTGTCAACATACACAGGTGATTGTTTGAATGTATAATAATATAACCAAATATTCTGTCTTTCACCAATGTATTTTGTATGTGTTGACATTCTCTAATTTTGGTCTTTTACGGTGACATGTGTATATATATATATATATATACAGGGTGGGAAAGAAAGTCACTTAACATTCCTGTTACAGAATATAGGATGTACCCAAAGAATGTATTGATACATTGAGCTCATATAAAATGCTTAACTCAGTAACTGTTCAAGGTAGGTCAATAAACCCTTTCAGCAATCAATTCCTTGTGAAATTCTGACCCTAAATGATATGTCACGTGACCCTCTTTCTATTTACAGTTTTAGAGTCAGATTCAATTTGGCCACCATCAAGATGGCAGCTATGTGTGTAACACATATCAATCTGTTTTTCCCTTGGTCTAATGTGTTCTTGACCAGTGGCGTGTCGTCCATGTAAGCTATGGAAGCACCGCTTTCCTTGTATTTTCTAAAATATAAATACATATCATGCGATTATTTTCATATTTAATGTACTTTGAATTACTTAAAATTAATAGTTTATTATAAATTTATATACATGTGAAAAACAACGATAAGATTGCTATTGTACGAGTATATTCGAATATAAATTCATATATGCATATTTTCAATGGAAACATTGTATTGTCGAATACAGGATAGATTTCATGGCAAAATTATTTGAATGGTGTAAAGCAGCCAGATTACAGGTATTCTCGCATGTACTTTGCAGAGCACCAACCTCTGGCAGTTTAGTTCATGGATGCTACGCACCAAAATATCATATAATGCTTCCAACGATTCTATTCATTAGTCACTTGTAGGGAGCTATTTGACTGGGTGGATTGTTTTAAGAATTAAAAAGTAAAGAAGATTTTATGTTATTTTTATGTACATTTCTTTACAAAGCTATATTTAATTATAATTATATTGACAGATTTTCAGACATAAAATCTTTAAAAATTTTATTACTTTTAGATGTTAATAATTTTAAATATTATGAAAAACAATTTTCCGAAGTGAGTTTTAATTCTTTATGTAAATTTTATGGAGAATTTTTGGATTTATCTAAATTACATAGTGAATTGCTATATTTATATTCATGTCCAGACTATATTGGCAAATCACTCTTAGACATAAAACATATTATAATTAATTACAATCTGAACAAAGATATAATAAAAGAATCATTCATCATACTGGTGTGAGAATTAAGAACCTAATTACAAAATTACCAATATACTAGCAAAATTCAATTTAAAAACGAACGTTTTCTGCCGTCTTCACCGGTCATCCTCAGGTTCAATTCCAAGGAAATCTTGGAATCGAACCTGAGATCGAATCGAGGATGACCGGTGAAGATGGTAGAAAACGTTCGTTTTTAAATTGAATTTTGCTGGTATATTGGTAATTTTGTGGTTAGATTCTTGATATAATAAAAGAATTATGATTTAATATCATTAATATTTATGGTACCATCTACCAGTGTAGTTTTTCAACCATGAAGTGAATTCATACATTTACAAGGAACACTCAGTCAGAGGAAAGATTGTTGTCAATGAAACCTAATGAAACTGTTGCTTTCAATAGGAAAAGAGCTTTTAAATACTCTGATGGAATCAACAATGAGTGATTTTTATGATAAAGTAATTAATGACTTTGCAGAAAAAATTGTTGAATAGAGTTAGTTTATAAAAAATAATAAAAACAAGTATTTATATCTTTCTTTTGTGTCAATTATCTATTTTATAATTAAAATAAATGAACTGTTTATTCTTTATTTTTGTCATTTACAGTATTTGTTTAAAACTTTTATGGAAACATGGCTTCCCTAACATCAAATGTCACTGCTTGCCACTGTTCCTGACTTAAGAAAAATTAATAACATAAAAATTTACGTTCTTTTTTGTGTTTGATTTTATATTCTATTGTATGTTAACTGAAGAAGATTGTTAAAAAATGGTCGAAAACATTTTTATGTTATTAATTTTTATTTGCTGGATTATTAAAGGTGTGTTTTATTTATAATATACTTAGCCAGTTTAGTTTGTTATATAAGTATCCTGACATAAGTGAATTAACTTTGGGTACATTTTATATTCTGTAGCAGGAGTGTTAAGTGACTTTCTTTCCCACCTTGTATATATATTACTTCATGTATTGTTTCATAATTATTTATTATTTATATTCTATATTATTTTTATATTTCCAAATTTTAATTTTTTGTGTTTTCTTTTATTTAATCCTTCTGTATTATATTTTTTGAACTTGATATACAGTATGTTATTGAACACATAATGTTATTTTTGAATATTCTGTAACTGAGGAATACCAGTTAATTCTGATTGAAAACACTTTTATTCTAAAACCTCTTGCTTGAATTTCAAAGACAATTAATGACTTATTGTAGTGATAAATATGTATAGTTTTGTTTAAAAAAATCAGATATATATATATATTATATATATAAAAACTTGCAAGTCTGAACAAAGTGATGGATAAAACTTTACAGGATAATCAGTTATTTAGCTTAGTTTACAGTAAGAAAATGGTAATTTTTGACTATCAGACAGATGCATTAACAAGTTGCAGAGAAAAATCTTTATTTCAAAGTATTCAGTTTAAAGTCTAGTTAGCACTATAGTAATCCAATGATTGCCTAAATATTCGGGCTATAATATGGCTGTAATCAAATAATTAATAAAAATAAATTTTGTACTAGAGGTAAGCATTAGGTGCCATCTTTTTTCTACATTAATAATTATAATTTAATAAATAATTTAGAACTTTATGGAGGAAAATAACTGATCCATGGCAGGGCTTGAACCAACAGCCTCCACTTGCCATGTGGTGCGCTACCAATTGCTCTAACCAGATCTCAAGCCAGCCTTCACTTCCAGAAGTATTTAAATTTCGATATAACCCTACTTCTGGAAGCAAAGGCTGGCTTAGGATCCGGGTAGCACAATTGGTAGTGAACTGCACAGCAAGTGAAGGCTGTGGGTTCAAGCCTTGCCCCGGGTCAGTTATTTTCCTCCAGAAGGTTCTAAATTATTTATTAAATTATAATTATTAATTTAGATAAGAGATGGTGCCTAACACTTACCTATAGTACCAAATTTATTTGTATTAATTATTTGATTATAGCCATATTATAATCCAAATATTTAGGCGATCATTGGACTATTAAATTTGTCAAGCTCTCATCCATTTTCAGAACTTTCATGCACTCTCTATCTTTCTCTCTGGAAAAAATAAATGGTCAACTCACTTGCATGTTATGTGCTGGGAAATATGCAATGTTATAAAAAAATATGTAGAATTCCTTATACAAATAAACTTGTCAGAGGAGAAATTTGAAGACTTTTTTAACAATCTATATGATTGTTAAAAAAGTCTTCAAAAGTCTTCTTGGCCATAAAAAAGGGTTAAAATCCTCCACATATATGTTTCAAATTTGTCAGTTCAACCAAGGAAAAAACTGAGTAGTGTCAGAATTCTGACGTTTTACAATGATAATTTATCCAATCACTGTATAGAGGGGAAGCCCACAAACTCTTTGTAATCCTCTATTTTGATGTGTCTGAATATGGAATGTTAGCAATAATGCAATTGATTCTTGATAAGTCAAACTTCATTAACTTGAATCTCTAGCTAAGTTGAATTTTATTCTCTGATGTCTGACATCACCAGTTTGGTGTTAGACATCAGATTGCCATGGTNGTTGGGTTGGGACTGAGGAGTCGAATGCACGGAATTTTATGTTGCCGCGATAGGCACCCATTCCGCTGTTATCTGCAACCAGCACAACATGCAGAGGATGCCGCAAGCGATCTGAATAGTGCAACACGATTTAAATTTATGGCATGACAAACCACTACTTCGGCACATTCTATGGATCGACGAGGCACAATATTCACAAAATTAAGTTTCAAAATGTGTCATAATTCATGGGTACATTGCACAATACATGTGACGTACTGTACATGACACAAAGCGTGTTTTATGCTAAACATCTCCCAGACAGATGTGCGTCAGTGGCTCGCAGAGCATTTCGGCAACCACTGGATAGAACAAGACCCTGTTTTGTGGCCACCAGATTCCCCAGACTTTACCTCGAAGGTCACCTAAAAGCATTGGTTTATGATGCATACCAGGCGAACCGGAGAGAGACATACAAGGTCTGTAAAATGTAAGTCCAAACATCTTTGTATTACAGCAAAGGTGATATTTTGTTAGGAAACATGATCAAAACGAAAGTTCATCTTTGTATGAACTTCTGCAATGTTGTCTTTATTCTTTACAATCAAGACGATTTATCATAAGATATCAATTTAGAAATTATTTGTTTCATTTGGTTATTTTAGCGCTGGAACCACCATACACTGGTGCAATGCTGGAAAGATAAAAATTTATCCAGTGGCAAAAGAGAAGTGTATATGTTATAAGGTCAAATACAAGGCTTGTTATTTTAATAAGATTTTATTGAATAATTTTTCCAATAATGTTGTTTAATTTCAAACAATTGGCATTTTTATAAATAATTTATCAACTACTTTTATAATAATAAACGATGCTTTTAGCCCACGACTTTATTAGGCTATCTAACTCTCTAAATTAAATAGGATCTAACAATTCGGAGGGCTTATCATACCAAGGCCGACAGAAAAGAAGGCCAGATCTTTTACAAAAAAGTTAGTCTTTAACAATCAAAATTAGATAAGGATGCATTTTGGGCACAAGAACCGCTCATCAGCTTACAAACACAGTACCAACATATAATTATAACACTGACAGTTAACCAATACAAAGGAATTTTTAATACACACAGTGCACTGTATTTACAATTATGAATACAACCCATATACTAAAAATATTGAGCATAAAATTTATTTATATAATGATGTGATATATCACATCATTGGGGACCAGTAAATGTCTCATTTTCTCCCACATTTTCCGAATTCTGGTAGACTGTTCTATATTATTAAAATAATTGGTTTCCAGACATTAAACAAAACAAATACATTAAATCCATAAGACTGTGTGGAGCCAACTGCCTTGTTACAATTCATTTTACAGATATATCACATTATTATATAAATAAATTTTATGCTAGATAGTTTTAGTTCTTTAGTATATTGGTTGTATTAAAAATTGTAAATACAGTGCACTGTATATATCAAAAATTCCTTTGTATTGGTTAACTATTAGTGTTATAACTATGTGTTTGTAAGCTGATGAGGGGTCCTTGTACCCGAAATGCATCCTTACCTAAATTTGAAGGTGATTATTAAAGACTAACTTTTTTGTAAAAGATCTGTTTTTTTTTTTCTGTTGGCCTTGGTGTGATAAGCCCACCAAATTGTTAAATCCTTTGTGAATGTGTCTCTTCAATCCGATTTTCAGTTCGGTAGACTATCATATACAAGGTAACTACTTCCAACTCTTTAACACCTCGTTGAATAATAACGATCCACGAAAAAACCTTTTTTACGAGGGTTATTTTCACTATTAAGTTCCACAAGTACTTTCGACCTCCACCGAGGTCTGCTTCCGTGCCCTTACCAGAAGGGCTTTCACGCACCACACACTTGTGCGCGACGCATGGGCGGAGATCCGACGCATAGAAAAAATTGCTGTGGAACATGGTTATAATAAAGCCTTGGTCCGTGGTTTAGCACGCGCATACGCCCGCCACCCCCCTAGCCGCAGGGACAGCCCCTTACCATCGCCGGACGACAACCGACAACCGGATGGGAACGCGAGACGCGCGATCGTCCGCTTCAACCGGCATTTAGACCCCCTATATAGGGAGATCGCTAGCAACAGCCGCACCAAAATCGCGTACTTAAGAACCGGCACGCTTTACGACTTGCTGCGCAACGCGAAGGACGCAATCGATCTCACCAGGGCCCCAGGTGTTTACTCCGTTCCCATACGGGACGACAGGTTCAATAGAGACTTAGTTTACATCGGCTCCACCATCCGATCAACACAGAAACGTATACACGAACACCAAGCTGATATTAAGCATAAAAGACACACCACTGCCTTATCCACCTATATCACCGACCCTGAAATAAAGGCGGACTTCCGGAACACCAAAGTTATCAGACACGTGTTCTGCGCGGATCATATCCGTCACCTGGAGGCCTGGGAGATTCACAAAGCTAGCAGGGGGGGCAACTGCATCAACTACAAGGACGGGGAAACACTTGCACAGGCGTGGAAGTATTTATTCGAGGAGTTCGAGCAATGGCGGCCGGAGGGGTGAAACCTGACGCGCACGTTTATTTATTTATGTCGTTGGCAACATCGTTACAACGGTCGGGTCGACAGTTACCACCTGAAGCAGACCTTGGTGGAGGTCGAAAGTACTTGTGGAACTTAATAGTGAAAATAACCCTCGTAAAAAAGGTTTTTTCGTGGATCGTTATCATATACAGCTTTCAGGTTAGGAACTTCTTTTATTGGTTTGTCAAATGCATTTAGGACTTATTTGTATTTTAAGTCCCTCTTCAGTTCAAAAGTACAAACTCAGGTTCTGTTTTCTAAAATACCCCGGTGTATAATTCGTAATGTTGGAAAGAGTTTAAAAATACAGCCATTTAAAAACACTTCAAATACATATTCACATTAATACGGTGCACTTTTTACAATTGTTCATAAAAACTTTTATAATTACAACCTTTAAAATATGCGTATGTTCTCCATTGAAATGTTGCAGCAATAATGAACGTTTTTACAGGTTAATAACACGTGGTATATTACCATTAACACATTCTCAAGAGAATACATTCACACTTTTACAATATATTAATATATATATATACTGAAGAGGGACTTAAAATACAAATAAGTCCGAAATGCATTTGACAAACCAATAAAAGAAGTTCCTAACCTGAAAGCTGTATATGATAGTCTACCGAACTGAAAATCGGATTAAAGAGACACATTCACAACGAAATAACAGCTGCCATAAGTGATTTTTTGTTAAATCCTATTTATTAGGATATCTAATTCTATCTAAATTAAACCTTTTCTCCTTTTCTTTCACCCTTGTTTTTAGATTTTATTTATATAAACAAGAAGAATAACTCAACACAAAATGGTGTTAAAGAACTTTTTAATCCTTTGTAAGCACTTGACATTCCTATAAATGTCATTTTTAGGCACTAATACAAATCGAATGCTTTTTCAGAAAAAATTTTAAAGTACAGAAATGAAACAGCATTAAAACAAATGGAATACAAAAATTTTAAAACAAAAACTTTTAAAAACATTGCCAGTTGCATGCTACAACTACACAGGGGAGCCTATTCCTTCCAGTGTTTTCCAGATCTTGCATTGGGGACTAAGTACATTTCCCCTCACATCACGGACATCTCAGAGTTATTTTCAGTGCTCAAGCAGGGACCAAGTTTCCACAAATGGATCTCTCAGTTATCTCAACACTTGTCACTGCAAGGCCATCATCTCGCAGTGCCAAGAATTGAGTGAGCGGTTGATCTATAAATCGTTACTTGTCAGCTGCCAATATGAGACTCTTAGTCTTGGACAAGGATAAAAGGTTTATACTGTGCAAGGAAGAGGACTTTCTTCACAGGGTAGTGAGTTTTTGGACCAGTCACACACTATGTTCTTATGAGAGGATCCAACTCCAGCTGTCTTAAGGAAGAGAAGGAAAATTGTGTCTTCTCTGAATCTAACTATGATTCTTTTGGGACGCTTGGATCCTCTCTCAAATGTCGCTTGCCCCAGGCTATTCTTTGAAGCTAAGATGCATAAAA